GCCAACACAAGGCGTGGTGGTCACTCACGACTTTGAAAGGCCTGCCGTACAGGTAGGGGCGGAACTTTGATGTAGCCCAGATGATGGCAAGGCATTCCTTTTCTGTCGTGGAATAATTGGCTTCTGCCTTCGAAAGTGACCGGCTAGCGTAACTGATGACCCTTTCAAGTCCGTCGGTCCTCTGCACGATCACGGCGCCGAGCCCTGTGCTGCTTGCGTCCGTGTGAATTTCGGTGTCAGCTTCTTCGTCGAAGTGCGCCAGTATTGGCGGCGTTTGCAGGCGTCGCTTTAATTCTTGAAATGCCTCGACTTGCGGCGTTTCCCATTTGAAGTCGACGTCGGCCTTCGTGAGGTACGTCAGTGGCTCGGCGATCCGCGAAAAGTTCTTCACGAAGCGCCTGTAATAAGCGCAGAGGCCAAGAAATCGGCGTACTGCTTTCTTGTCGGTGGGTGCAGGAAAGTCGGCGATAGCAGCTGTTTTCTGTGGATCAGGGAGCACTCCCGACTTGCTGATAACGTGGCCAAGGAACAATAGTTCCTCGTAGGCGAAGCGGCACTTTTCTGGCTTCAGGGTAAGTCCCGAGGCTTTGATTACCCGAAGAACAGCTTCAAGGCGCCGGAGGTGCTCGTCGAAGTTGGAAGAAAATACGACTACGTCGTACAAGTAGACGAGGCAAGTCTGCCACTTCAAGCCTGCGAGTACTGTGTCCATAACCCGTTGGAACGTCGCAGGCGCCGAGCAAAAACCAAAGGGCATGACCTTAAACTCGAATAGGCCGTCTGGTGTTATGAAGGCAGTCTTCTCTCGGTCTCTCTCGTCTACTTCGATTTGCCAGTAGCCGGTTTTGAGATCCATCGACGAAAAATACTTGGCGTTGTAGAGTCTGTCCAGAGCATCGTCTATCCGTGGGAGGGGATACACGTCTTTCTTCGTGATGTTGTTCAGGCGACGATAATCGACGCAAAAACGTAGGGTTCCGTCCTTCTTCTTCACCAACACCACGGGTGATGCCCACGGACTCGTAGACGGCTGAATGATGTCGTCACGCAGCATTTCGTCGACTTGTTGCTTGATGGCCTCGCGTTCCCGTGCAGAAACTCGGTAGGGGCTCTGACGGAGCGGACGGGCATATTCGTCGGTTATGACGCGATGTTTCGCGAGAGGGGTCTGACGAAGCCTCGACGACGACGAGAAGCAGTCCTTGTATTGGTGGAGTAAGGCTTTGAGCTCCTTTTGTTGCTGCCTGGAAAGGCTTTGATTGACGTCGAAGGCGGGCGCGGACACTGCTGTCGACGTTGCGGCTCCCTGAGAATCGGTGACGGCGAAGGCATTGCTCGCTTCCACAAATTCGCTTAGATGTGCTACCGTCGTGCCCCTATTCAAGTGCCTATATTCGTTGCTGAAGTTCGTCACCATTACCTTGGCTTCGCCGTTATGAAGCTTGGCTATGCCTCTTGCGACGCACATCTGACGGTTTAGGAGCAGGTGCTGGTCGCCTTCGATGACACCTTGTAAGTTGGTAGACGCTTTGGTGCCGACGGAAATGATGACGCTCGACAGTGGCGGGATGGTTACTTGCTCTTCTGTCACATTCAAGGCATTGTGAGTGACGTTGCAGTCTGACGCCGTTGCATTATCCGTGGACAGCGTGATTGACCTGGATCTTAGGTCGATTACTGCGCCTTGCTGGTCCAGGAAATCCATGCCTAAAATGACGTCTCGCGAGCATTGCTGCAGGACCACAAAATTCACAGAATACGTCTGGCTGTGAATCATGACTCTTGCCGTGCAGGTTCCAGTCGGCGTTATAAGGTGGCCCCCTGCTGTTCGGATATCCGGTCCTTCCCATGCAGTCTTTACCTTCTTGAGCTTAGCGGCGAAGAGACCACTGATGATAGAGTAGTCGGCGCCGGTATCGACTAGGGCGGTGACGCTGTGGCCGTCGATGATCACGTCGAGGTCGGTGGTTCGTCGTCTGGCGTTCCGGTTAGGTAGGGGCGTCGGATCACGGCTGCGTCGGCTTGGTCCGGTGCTGCTATGTCGCGTCGGCGGCGAGGCTTTGTCGTAAAGACTCTGCTCAGGCGGCGTACTGCGACTACGTCGGGAAAGTTCGTGCGTCGTGGTCGTCGTCATCGGCAGCGGCGGCGGCGGCGGAGGAGGATCTTCGGCATTGCGTCGTGCAGCAACCGCACAAAGGAACGGTTGCTGCCTTTAGTTTCCCGGGTAGGGGCTTGGGGATCGGCCCCGGTTAGGGCCGGTGTACTGGCGGCGATCCGGGGAGACGTAGCGGCCAGGCGAAGGTGAACGGGATGGTCGTCGTTGTTGCCACTGCGATCCGGCGATGTAGTCGGCGATGTCGCGAGGTCGCTCACCTGGGCGCGGACGCGGCGCGTTCACGTCGAAGCCACGCAGTCCCATCTCACGGTACTGGCAGTAGCGGTAGGTGTGCCCGGCTTCGCCGCAGTGGTAGCATAGTGGGCGGTGGTTCGGGGTGCGCCAAACGTCAGTTTTCCTCGGCGAGCGCTGGATTACTGGCGAGCGGGAAGGCTTCGGGGGTGGCGGCGGTGGCTGGCGACGAAACTGCGGAGACGTTGGGTCCTGGTGTTGGCGAGGAGCGGCGACAGGTCGTCGTGCAGTAGCGGCGTAGGTCATCGCCTCCGGTTGGGGCTGTGGCCGTTCAGGAACGCTCAGTGAGCGCTGTAGTTCCTCGCGGACTACGTCTTCGAGAGAGGCGACTTGGGGCTGAGACGATGGCAACATGCGGCGCAGTTCTTCACGAACAATAGCGCGTATGGTCTCGCGCAGGTCGTCGGGGCAGAGTCCTCGGACTTCTGCGACGTCTGGCGACATGCGCCGATCGTATTGGCTGGTCCGCATTTCAAGAGTCTTCTCGATGGTGGTAGCCTCGGAGAGGAACTCTTGTACCGTCTTTGGTGGGGTTCTGATCAGTCCGGCGAAGAGCTCCTGCTTCACTCCTCGCATAAGCAGGCGAACCTTCTTGTCCTCAGACATGTCGGCGTCGGCGTGGCGGAAAAGTCGCGTCATCTCCTCCGTGAAGATCGTTACGTTTTCGTTGGGGAGCTGCACCCGAGTTTCAAGCAGTGATGCGGCTCTTTCCTTCCGCACGACGCTTGCAAAGGTGCGCAGGAAAGCTACGCGGAAGTCGTCCCAGGTTCGAAGCGTTGACTCGCGGTTCTCGAACCAAGTCCTTGCGGCGTCTTCCAGGTAAAAATACACATGACGCAGCTTGTCGTCCGGGTCCCACTTATTGAGGGCTGCGACGCGGTCGTAAATGTCAAGCCAGCTTTCCGGGTCTTCGTAGGTCGATCCGCGGAAGGTAGGCGGCTCTTTGGGCTGGTTGACGACCACGGTTGCCGAAGACCTTGCTTCCGTCATCGTGGATGCCGGCTTCGTAGCAGCCTTTGTTTTCTTGCCCTTGTCGGGGAGCGGCAGGTATTCGGGCGGTAGTCCTTGTTGTCTTCGGCTCACTCGAACGACCGGGTCGGCGTCGTCCTCTTGGCGGCTTGGGCTTGGCTCACGGCTGGACGGGGGCGTACGGTACATGGGCCGAGAAGCACCTCCACCAGATGTCACGAGGTTGTGATACACGCAGCACTTGAGAGGAAGCACGCAGGAGTCAGGGCGGTGTCAGGCGAACTGTTTATTGGGCGAACTTGTGCCCAGCAAAACAGGGCCAAACACAACTCACAGCAACAGCGGCTATTGAGGCAGACATTGGTTTGGCCGTTTTGTGTAGAGTTATTTCTAATTTCGGGAAAAATTGCAGGTTTGTTTGGGCAAATATACTTTCTTCAGTTTTTATAACACCATTCTCATTATTTTTTGCTTTGCATGAATAGTTTCCAACACACCCATTGTGGAAAACAAATTTGCAATTCATTCTCTCCAGGTACAAAAAAGAGTGGATTTATGACTGCTTGCTGCTAAAGATAAAGTCCACAGCAGTCTACACTTTTCTTCATGAAAATGAATTTTTGCCCCTTCCAAATCCCCGCACCCTCTATGGCTACCTCAGAAATCTGAAAGCTGATTTTGGCTTCGACAGCACTTTGTTCACGGTTCTGTGTGAAAAGCTAGAAGCAGTTCCAGAAAGAGAGCGTCGAGGTAAAAAGCAGTACTCATTTTTATAATTGTATTATATTCAGCAGCGCAATTGAGACAAGATGTTATCCTACCCAAAACTTTCCAGGAGTGCTCATGTTCGATGAAATGAGCGTCAGAAAAAGCGTCCACATTCGCGAGTCGGACATGGCACTGCTGGGCAAGGTGGATTTCGCCAAACACACACGACCAGGTGACCATGGCAAAGACGGCGACCACGTGCTGGTCTTTCTGTTTCGGGCTTTTCTGGGAGGGTGGTCACAAACTGTGGGCACATTTTGTGCTTCTGGTGCTGCCCCAGGATCAATCGTGGCGAAGCTCCTTTTGCAGTGCATTGTTCACCTTACAAACGCTGGTGTTGTTGTTGACGCAGTGACCTGCGACAACTCCACATCAAACCAATCAGCCTTGAGATCTCTGGGTACGTCTTTTCAAATTTTATTTAGCTGTGGTTAGTGATGTAGTAGAAAAACAAGTGTACTATTAAACTGTTTTTCTCTCAAGGTGTCAACAGGGACATGCACAAGCTTCAAACGTGTTTTGAACACCCGTGTGAGCCCTCAAAGCAAGTCCACGTTGTAATTGATCCACCGCACATATTTAAGTGCATCAGAAACAACTTGCTCAAAGTGGGCAAGTTTTTGGTAAGTAAAAAAAAGTTGCATGTGAATGCCTTGACCTGTACATAAACTATTCAGTTTAAAAATAAAATTTGTCACTTGTCCTTATGTTGCAGCTCCCTCAAGGACAGGAGGTGTTCCACTGTCACTACAAGGACTTACTGGACTATGAAGAAGAACAGGCTGGACTCCGGGCTGTACCGAAGTTAACGAAAGCCCATATTTTCCCCAATCCGTTCCAAAAGATGAGCGTGAAGTTGGCTGTCCAGGCAAGTCATGCACGCAGCTATGTTCAGTGCAAAGTGTATTTCAAAAACATCTGCTCACACGTTTTGGGAAGTAAACTTAAAATCCTTTTTTTCCACACATTTTACAGCTGTTCAGTGAGAGTACTGCTTCGGCCATGGAGTTTTATAGCGAGCACGAAGACTGCAAGAAGCTCTATGGGTCGGAATTCACAACATCGCAATTCACAAGAACATTGAACAAGCTGTTCGACTGCCTGAACTCTCGGAGGCCAGACCATGTTCGATTCAACGAAGCACAACACATTGCTGTGAGATTATTACATGTGTTATGAAGTGTTTTTCGTGTACTATAGATGAAGCATAATTTTATTCCAGGTGTTGAAGGACAGCATTGCATGGCTGGACATTTGGGAGAAATACATCAAGACATTACCGACCCAGAGGCAAGTCTGCTTTCTGAGTAAGCAGACATGTGGAGCCCTCAGACTGACACTGCATAGCTCAGTTGCACTCATCGAGAGCTTGCTGTTGTCTGGGTTTCGTTACGTTCTCGTTGGGAACTTCGGACAAGATCCTCTAGAGGTAAACATGATGACTTTTATGTGTATAAATGTGCTATGAATTTCTCATTGTTGCGATAAATTGATTTTTTCTTTCTAGAGGTTTTTCGGCATCGTCAGGCATGTTGCTGGTGACGGAGGGCAGCCGACTGTGCAACATTTTTTGTTCATCTATCGGATGCTCTCTGTAAACAACCTAGTTCGGCCGCCAAAACAGGCCTCGGTCGAGGGAGGTGGACCCCAGCTGTTGCTCAAGCTCCAGGGCCTCTTTGACAAGGGAAAACCTGCCTCCAGTCAGGTAACGTGCCCCTTGCTTTTATTTATTAGCTCTAGTTTCTTTTTTTCAGGAGCAGTTTCACTACACAAATGACCAAATAACCAAATGAAACATAATGTGTTTTTGCATTTACGAATCTCAACTTATACATTGAAAGATTTGAAACTTGGAATGTATTCTGCAGATTGACATGTTGGCGGTCCTCTTTGATGACGTTCTTGAGGAGCCGGGGGAGGCAGTGAACAATGCATCCGTGCCTGACGTTACGCTCTCCACCAAAGAGTGCATTCTTGATTATCTTGCCGGTTACGTGGTAAAGAAGTTTTCAACGATAAGCTGCACTGACTGCGTGGGAACACTCAAGAGCCAGACACGAGAGCCAACTGACCTAATCCAGAAGAAGTCAAGAGGATTCCTGCAAGTGCCCTCATCCCAGCTTCTCAGCCTGTTGCGCATTGTGGAAGGACATGTTGAAGAACTGACTGTGGACACAGTTGCATGTGCCGATGTGTATGCGAACATTGTTGACCAAGTTTTGCTCGACAGCCGCATTGCTTCTGCTGGTGTGGGCTGTAGGTTGCACTATGTGGGTACCACAGCAGAGGTTGTTCATTTTTTCTTGAGGTGCCGCCTGCACTTTTACACCAGGGAAAAAAACAAGCTGACACGAGCGACGTGGCGAGCAAACTGCCCGCGGCACCAGGAGGCGCACTCACCAACCTTGCCTTGTCGATTCCGTATCCTGACGGTGCAAGCTTATCTAAAATTTTGTAGTTATTCGGTAAGAGGAGACACCGCTAGGGGGCCACGGAGTGCGGACGTGTTGCGCGTCGGCTCCCCAACTTTCCTATGTTTTTGGTGGATTGTCGAATTTATCGTGGAAAACGCTTCTCACCATCGATCGGCGGCAGTTTCAAGGACTTCCCTGACACCAAGTTTTGCCAGGTGGGACCACTTTTTAGCCACTTATTGGCGCCTTTTATTCCACCACGAAAGCAAGAACGCCAAGTCCAGCGTCTCTGCGCACGACGCCATAGGCCGGCCGCTGCGGCGGTGGGGCCTGCAAGCCTAACGTGTCGCCGGACCTCCTTGGAGCTCCCGATCCCCGACGGCAGCGTACAAGGCCTTTGCCAGGGCTAAATGGATGTCGTAGAGGTAGAAGGAGAGGACATTCGGCTGGAAGATTTCGGCGAGGGAGCAGGATGGTGCAGCGTAAAGAGAACGAAACAGGCCGACGGCGCGTCCGAGTCGGCGCAAGACCAGAAGACGGAGACGCAGCAACCGGTGGCTGCCGCGGAGACTACAGGGATTGCCCCGGATACTGCCACAGCGGCGCAGAATAAAAAGAAGTGTGCTCGTTACTTGCAGCACCTCGCTAAGGCGAGCCGAATGCCAGAGCTACCGCCCGATGACTACAGGATCATTGTGCGCCCCCGCGGCGGATTCAACGGGGCTGAATACAAGATAGATCGCATTTACTGCTGCCTTCGTAACGCGGCAGGTATCGGTAGAGAAGCGGCTAGAGAGGCCAGCATCTGCCTCAACGTTAAACAGAACGTCGTGGTGCTCAGCACTCCGTCCGCGGACAGAGCCAAACGCTACGGAGCCATCAGCAAGCTTTGCATCGGGAACCTAGAGTTCGAGGCGAACGCCTATCAGGCCGCCCCGGAGAAGACTTCCAAGGGCCTGATTAGGAACATTTCCAAAGACGAGAGCCCGGAGGACATCGTTAACAACCTAGTGACGCAGCGCAACCCCGGCGTGCTGCATGCCAAGCGAATGGGCACCACGGACAACATCATCGTATTGTTCGACGGTTTCCATGTTCCCAGACACGTATACTATGGACCTATGCTTGTGAGATGCTCCCTCTACAGAAAGCACATCGACGTGTGCTACGCGTGCGGGAGGCTGGGCCATCGCTCCGACGTGTGTCCCAACCCTGCCGACAAGATTTGCCGTGGCTGCGGAAGCAGTAACCCACCGTCTGACCATCGCTGCGAGCCGCGGTGTCAACTGTGTGGCAAGGATCATCTCACGGGTGACCGCGTCTGCAAGGCGAGATACAAGACTCCTTACATAGTCAAGCGTCGCCGCCTAGAGCGAAAGCGGCGTGAAGAAGAGCAAGCGGCCGCAGCGTCCGACAGCATCTACAACAGCGGCATTAGCACCGAAGGCAACGGAGGTTACTACAATCATTATCCGGCGTTTGACAGTCATTCATTCAACGCCACCCGAAAAGGACGCTCAACAAGCCGAGACGCGAGAGGCGGCGGCGGTAAATCCCGGTCCCGCTCTCGCAGCCGGACACCAAGGCCGAGAAGCATGTCGAAGACGCGCGGTGGCGCCGTTCCGGGCGCCGCAGCTGTCAACCAAGGCACCCAACAAAGTCAGCAGCATCAGACGTGGCGGCAACCGCAACAACAAGGACCCATGGGCACATGGCAGCAGGTGAGATGGGCGGATGTAGCCGCCTTTCACGCCGGCGGCGTTGTTTCGGCGGGACGTCCTGGCGGTCCCGCCGTCGGTGGCGGCGGTGGGAGCGAGCTCAAGCTAGCGGTAGAGCGAGCGCTAGAACAACGCCTAGGACCATTACAATCGATAATTTCAGAGCTGAAACGCGAGAACGCCGCCCTTAGAGCGGAAAATTCCAAATTGAAAGGAGAGGCTCCACGAATGCAACAACCGCAGCAACAGTCGACGGCGCCGCCACCACCGACGCCTCGGTCTTCGACTCCGTCGAGACCCGAGGCGGCGGGGATGGACACGGATGACGAGAGCAGTTCGGGAGAGGGGGCAGGCGGACGCGAAGACCGCCCGTGTATCGCGAAAAGGATAGCACTAGATCCTGCCAGGCACGAATCCACACAGCGATTTGGCCGTTATGATAAGCTACAGAAACAAATCGATACTATCGAGACCAGCGTCGATGAACGTTTTGCTAAACAGGTGGCACAGATGAATGACATGTTCAATAGTGCGATAGCTAAGCTCTCTGAACAAATGACACAAATGCTCACCGCGCACACGGCGCGCATAGAAAACATTGAAGCGCGACTCCCGCCATCTGCGGGCAGACCGATTAGAACGGTGAGTAAGCCCTACGCTAGACAGCAACAGAGTCAGCAGCAGCAGAACGCGCTGCCAGACGCCGAGCTGCAGATTCAGCCGCACCCCAGTCGCCTCGACGGCGATGGGCTAAATTAAACACAAGCATCACCATGGCTAGACACGCGCACACTCACACTAACACACACAAACAACAGTACACGATCTGGCAGTGGAACTGCCGGGGATATAGGAGGAAGCGGGGAAATCTCGAGCAATTTATTCGAAGCCGTGAGACGAAACCGGACATTATCCTTTTGCAGGAAACAAATTATCCGGCAAAACTAGCTGGTTACAAAGCCATAAATGCGGCCGCGGCGGACAACAGGCGGAAAGAAAAACGTGCTACACAGCGCTCGGCGCGTGGTGGGGCGCCGGGGGCGGCCGCGGGTCGCCGGGGGCGGGGCGATCCGCTCTCGTTGTCGGCGCGACCGCGGTCGCTGCCGTCGCCCCCGCCGCGTACGGCGCCGGTCGCCGCCGTGCTAGTTAGACGTAACATCACGGTGGCGCAGCGCGAACTTGAGTGCGTAAGGATACCGCATGTTTTTGTAGAATTAATTCCTAAGCGCGGCCGAGGCCTGTTTGTACTTAACGTCTACAGTAAACCCACGCTACAGCACCGATTTGGGGAGATGCTCCGGAGAGCAAGCACGGCCGCCAACGGCGCACCTCTGCTAGTTGCGGGTGATTTTAATGCGCCCCATGGGGCCTGGGGATACACGCGTGAAACGCTCAAGGGCAAACACCTTTGGGAAGACTCGCAAGACCAACGGTTTGAACTGATCGCGAACCCCGCCGATCCGACGCGCCGGGGTAACAGCGTGAGCGCAGACACGCTACCGGACCTCGCGTTCGTGTCGAATGTCACAGCGGCGTCTTGGCAAAACACGCAGGAGGACTTAGGGAGTGACCACTCTCTGATAGAGATTACGGTAGACACGGGCCCGAGCGTTCGTAGAACATACTCTGAAAGCACAGGCCGTAAACTCAAATTAGTGCAGTGTGACGCGTTCCGCAAAAAGAGAGCAGAAGGCGGGCGGGGCGACGAGCCGATCACGGATATAGACGAGTGGACCGCGATGCTCAATAGGGACGTAGACGCGGTAACGTGCGACATCCCGCCCGAAGCGAAGCTCGAAGTAATCGACAGCAGGCTCCTACACATGTGGGAAGCAAAGCAAGCCCTACTCAAGAGGTGGAAACGCCAAAGACATAACTGGGCGTTGAGGAAATGCATAGCACGGTTAGACAGAGAAATTGAGGAACATGCGTTCCAAGTCTGTAGGTCACAATGGGAAGACCTGTGCAACGGCCTCGAGCGACAGATGCGCAGGGCGAGTGCTTGGCGCCTTTTCCGGCACCTATTGGATCCGGAAGATACTCGTGCCGCACAAGGCCATAAAACTCGGAGACTTGTGAACGATCATAAAGGCGATGACCTGCTCGGTGTAATACGTGACCGTTACTTTAAGTCGGCAGAGAGCGTCCAACACCCAGATTATGACGGCGTTGCTAATGAGCAACTAGACGCCGAATTTAGCGAAGCGGAAATTCGGGCAGTCCTTTTTGAACTAAACACCCGATCGGCGCCCGGCCTGGACCGGGTTTCGAACAAGGCTCTCCGCAACTTAGATGACGAGTCAATCTCCCGATTTGTGACTTATATCAACGAGTGCTGGCAACGCGGTTCCCTTCCTGAAGCGTGGAAAAGAGCTCGAGTTATCATGATTCCTAAACCGGGCAAGCAGGTTGCGCTTGATAATCTAAGGCCAATTTCGCTCACGTCTTGTGTAGGAAAAGTTCTGGAGCACGCAGTCCTCAAACGCGTGACTGACTTTCTCGAAGTCCGCGATGTATTTCCGCATACCATGCTAGGATTCCGCCGCAATCTCTCCGCACAAGACGCGTTGCTTCAGCTGAAGCACCACATTGTTGATGACATTACCAGCTCAACCAAGGCGATCCTTGGCCTAGATATTAAAAAGGCCTTCGACAGCGTTAAACACGAAGCAATTTTAAACAGAGTTCAAACATTAGGGACTAGGACAAAAAAACATATAATTACATACGTGACTTCCTTGCCGGCAGACGCGTACGCGTCGTCGTTGGAGATGTGGAACTGCAAGAATTTGAGATGGGCTCGAGGGGCACGCCACAAGGCTCCGTAATTTCGCCATTACTCTTTAATTTACTTCTATTGGGGCTACCCGAGAAATTATTAGGCATACAAGGATTGTATCACAGTATCTACGCGGATGACATCACCCTCTGGGTTCCCGGCGGAGGTTGTGATGGTCACGTCGAGCGTACGCTCCAGGCAGGTGTAGACGAAGTTCAGGAGTACTTGCGAGGAACGGGCCTCGAATGCTCGGCAACCAAGTCGGAACTTCTAATCTACAAACCTACAAGTAGAGGTCGCAAAACCCCGCGCGACGAGGAAAGGGAGTGCTACAAAATAAGCGTTCTATTGGCAGATGGCACTCCCATTCCACACGTAGACAAAATTAGAATTCTGGGGTTACACCTGCAGGCAAACGGCCATAATGGAGAGACGGTGCGAAGACTACGTCGTTCGGTAGACGACACGATCCGACTCCTACGTCGTATCACGAACAGACGTACTGGTATGCGCGAACACTGCGCGATCCGTCTAGTGCAGGCGTACGCAATAAGCCGTATAACATACGTTGCCCCCTACCTCAAA